ATATATATATATATAAGAAATATTTATTAATAATATATAAAACAGTTCCACCACAATTATGTGATTAAAGCTTTTGGAAATGTTAGTAAGACTTTTGAATTCCAAAGAAACATCTCTCTAACGGTATGCATAGAAATTTCTACAGGTAAAGTGTGTTTTGTGTGTTTTTAATCCAATATATATATATATATATATAGCACATATGTGTTTGCAAGACGATGAGTGGCGTGTATTGATACTAGCTTTAGATAGCTTATGATGTTCATGCTTGAATGGCTATTTATACTACACTTCTCGCAGAAAAATCTTTAATATTTTTTAGGTTAGACCTACCTGAATGTTTGTTTTTTAATTGCTTTATTTCGCGCATCTTCTTTTTGTTTGATCCCTGATACACTGCTGTTCGTCATTCATTTATTTCAGTACTGCCTTTCCATATTTTAATTTTACAGACGGCGCTAAAACGTATGTGAAATTCCCAAATAAGGTTTATCCACTCTGCCAACCTTCCTTAGAGCAGGTTCTTTAGAAAAATGACGTATAAGACTTAAAAGTGAAAGTGCTTCTTAATAAGAGCTGTGAACATGCTGCACATTTTGACACTTTTAAGCTTTTCGCAAAATGCGTCCTAGACATCTTTTGTGGAGCTGTTGATTTTCCGCTCATCAATAGCATATTTGGTCTGCACTTCACTGCCATAGAGAAGCTTAGTGAGCACTTATGTATGACAAAATTTTTAGCTTGTACTCTCAGTGAGATTAGGATTTTTTCACACACTCTTATTCAATTTATTCCTAAAATTGATTATTTAAATAATTTTAATGAACATTAATTTTATTTCACGACAGAAAAAAAGATTGCAGAGACCAAAGCTCTAGCCTCATTGGCGTCGTATCACGCAGTCCAAGAAAGTTCGTACGCGACGAGTTATGAGTCCGTCGACCACCATCTACTATCACAAGCTCAAGGGCAGTTTTCAGAAAACCACTCAACGCCTGCAGTAGAAAGCTATGTTCAACATCTATATGTGAATTGCATTCCTCCAGTCTTAAAACCACATACAGTTTTAAAACCCAATTGGATGACACGCTGCTGGAAAAATTGAACTATTTGGAAACATATCTTTTTTCTTTATTTTACAGATAAATACCAAGACCAAACTTAATGTCTTTATTTTTAACTTGATAAAAATTGAAACCAAATAATACAGATTGTGCAGATTACCCAATAGTAATTAATTGACATATCAATAATAATTGATGTAAAAAATCAGGAAATATTACTCTAGATTTAACTTATGTAAATGTGCATGTAAACAGGCTAACTTTATGTGAAATAAACTTTTTTTACAAATGAACATTGTAGTTAGCGTTTTTTTCAGAGTCATCAGTAGGTCATCGTACTTCCCAATTGCCTTGTGAACCCTTGCTTTCACTCTATCATGTTACACATTGCTCACAAGAAATTGATACATTTAATAGCCATACAGTGCCTCCATTTGATAGTCATACAGTGGCTCAACGTAGATCCCTACTGAGTTTTAGATCAATAAGACACGAACAAATTGTGTCAATATAACAATAAAAGTTACGCTTTAAAAATAAATATACATTATACACAAGTAAACGTTTCGGCAGATGCCTTCATCAGTACACACAAACAAAACACATTTAAATAAGTATAAATTAAATTTACATACTATCAATATACATATCCTACCTAAAACAGAAAAAAATAGGAGAGGGTGCTAAAACCAGAAAAAAACAAAGTAAAGAGGAGTAGAAAGAAATGATTTTAACATAATTGTAAAAACCTGTCCACTCTTTGATGTTATCCTCCCATCTTTTTCTTTGTCTTCCTTTTCTTCTCCCTCCTCTTGTGAGGCCCTGCAACATTTCTTTGTACCTGTCTTCTGTCATTTTTATTCCTAGGTCAAACACTTTTATACCAAGTTTTAGTGTGCTGAAACTCCATATAATTTGTTTTCCTTGTGTTATTTCTTAGTACTCAACAAATTAATTCCTAATTTTTTTTACGCTTTTATGACATTTTATTATTTTGTTATGTGTGGTAGGAACGATTTATAAAAGAATCTTGGTTTAGGGTTTTAATTTTATCAATTTTTAAAACTATAATAACAGCTTGCTAATTAAGAAATACCATTATTTACGATTTTTAATATTTAAATTTAATACTATAATTAGTATTAGATCATCTTTTGAGGTTACAAGCAGAATATTTTACGTAATTAAAAAATATAATTTCTGCTTATATTCACTTCTATGCACTAAATACATATTTTAAATCCCTTCCTTCCAGAGCTGTAACAAAAAGCAAGTAATTTTAAAATGGATGTAATAATTCCACGTAGGAAACTTCCGAGATAATTGAACATACTTTGATAAAGACACATTATTTTTGATATTTTTGTTAATTAAAAAAAAAAAACAACTTAAGTATACATGTTTCATATATGCAATTGTTAAATTTCTAATATTAATTCATGCCTAATGTATCAATTTTAAAATGTAGTTTCTTAACTTATGCCGATTTTTAAAATATATTTAATAAAATATTCATTTTATTAATATCACAAGTTCGTCTTATTTGAAACCCGTTTTTCCCCCAAAAAATTATTAACCTAAACATTTGTTGTTGTTTTTCAATGTGTATTAATAATCACAATTCTGATTTCTAAAGATTATAATTTAAAAATAAAAAATCATATTTAAACTAATCAACAGGAAGTACTACAACCCTGAAACAGGTTTAATTGAGATTATTTCTTGTTTTAATAAACTTATTTTTTTAATGAAGTTTTAAGGTGTTATTTAAAAATTATTTTGGTACATTTCACACGTAACCTCTTAAAATCAATCCTCGCAAATTTTTCTCAAAAAACTACCCGAACATATCTTAAACCAACCTACTGATAACAACAAACATCTCTATCCCCGTATTATCTAACATAATAAAATAACCGCAAAAAACTAGACCTATTTAATACAAAGTTGTCACAAAATAATTTAGACGTCGACATGCGTCGTCAAAAATACGAGATCCCATCCATTTTCCAATAGATAGACGTAAGACGTCATATATAGATGACTATTTAAACTAACAAGCCTTCACACTAATTTAGAGAGCAGGGTTGACTTGTTGAGAATGTTTCGTTACGCACAATGAATCCTCTACAAATCTAAATAACCGACGTCCACATAAATAGACAAGCATATCAGCTTCTACAAGGTAATCACAGCCTTCAATTTAAATCAATCAAAAAAATACATTTTTCCGTTAAAAGAGCATACCCTTCTTGACGCCATCTCTGCCTCCTGCTCTGTTTACTTTTCTGCCTGACACGAAAAAAAAAAGAACAATTAACATTAGTCATTTCGTTTCTTAGGGCCAGTTCAACGGGATTTGTTCCAACACAAAAAGATCTAAATAGCAGGCAAATGTCCAACGTGGCATGCAATGGGGCTTCAAGGTGGATATCCGCCATTACCACTGGAAATGAGAGATGCAGTCGTTCACAAATACCAGGGGCGCACTCATCCCTAATACAAATGGCATATTTGCTGTCATAACAGTTTGGGCAATGGCTTTGAAAACAGGTTGTCCACCCCCCTCTCTACAGCGGTGGTGTTATCGCACCAGAAGAATGTGCTTCATTCAACCCATCCCCCACCCACCCACAACACCAGTGGTGCTCTAGCCCTTGTTGAAAGTTGAGCCAACCGCTACCAGCCCATTAAGCCTACTCCATGATAGGCAATAATCTTTCCCTCGCATGTTGGTGTCCGTTACTCTATTAACACAGAGGGCTAGGACAGCCTATTAGAAATGGTTTGGAAAGCCTAGAGGAAAGTATTTGTCGCCATACAGTTCGCCCTACTATAAACCTTGCACTCTTTGGGAGGTGTTGCGCATCAGTTACAATGGTCATCACTACCAGGAATGATGCGTAAGATGGCGACTGGCTGACCTAGTTTATACGCAGCTGTGTTTATCTTGACATTTTTTGTTAAATATTCTTGTGTTTCAGTGACGCACGACTTTCGGTTTCGGATCGTTCGGAGGAGAACAGGGAAACAGCTATAAAGTACCGAAGAGTCTAAAGATATACGCATTGCTATACCGTACCAATCATTTTTAAATAAGATATTGGTTGGAGTTTCTCCTTCTTTCACTTTAAAAAAATATCCTTGTTAGAGGATTTTATATTGAATCAGGATTTTATTTATTTTACAAAATAAAAATAATTTTAAAAAATTAACTAAAAAAATTAATAAAAATACTGTGTACTGCTTCAATTAAGGATTAGTGGGGACATGTGGATAAAAAAAAAAATATTTATTTATGTTTTAGAAGTCACATAAACAAGAACTGAAACTTTGGAATGATTAATAAAACAAAAATATATATCAAAGACAGATGGATGTTTTAGTAACTAATATTATTACAAATGTACTGCCATGATTAATTTATGTAAGTTATCTACAGCAAGGTGTTAAAAATCTATAACAATATATCACTGTCTAAAAAATAAGTTTTCTATTCATAACGTTATTGATAGATTTTAACAGGTTCAATAACAATACACTGGAACAAGGTGTTAACGATTAAACATTTTTTTTTAAAAATTGATTGGATATCAGATATATTAATTTTAGAACTACTTCAATTAAGCTGTTGAACGATGGGACTCTGATTTCTTGTGACCTCATAGTTTGAACTATTACTTAAGAGTAAGGAGTGTCGTTTTTTAAATTTACATTCTGGATCATTAACATATCAAAAAACAATTCAAAAATACAAAACTGTTCACGAATGAGTTGGTTACTTAATTTAACACTTATTGATTGCGTTGAATTGAGAATCACGTTTTTTTAGCTAAATGTATTCATACTTTCTTGATTAATTGTTCACATTAAGATAGTAACATATTAGGAAAAAAAATGTGTACGATTTATTAGAAACAACCGACAACACAATTTTTTTTTTGAAAGAGTTTGGAAGTGCATCTGTGTGTTGGAAATCATTTCAATATAACTGAGGAATTCAAAGGTGGGCGATGGTGGTGATAAACAAGGTTTGTAGAGTTGTTTGATATTAAATGTAAATTAATACAGTGAGCCCAAAATTTAAAACTAATGAAGCTCACTCATCTTAATCGCACATATGCATTTGCCAAAGTTGCATCTCTCCAAATGCTGCTTCCTAGTAATAAAATGGAATATAATTATGTTGGAATTATAGTTTGAAATTGGTCTGTCGACTAATGAAAACGTATCTGAAGTTGACCAATTGTTTCTCTAATACGTAATAGTTCGTCAATGGAACCAAGTTTTAAATAAGTAGCAGAACGATACCAAGGAAGCTTTAACAAGATAGCAGAATGAAACACGGCTACATGATTTTTTGTTTACTGTTACAAACCATTCATTCTTTCGAAAGAGAGTAAAGCACGCGTTCTCTAGAGTATATGCAATCCCCTCTACGAACTCTAAGAAAAAGATTCTTGAAAACGAACGATTGTTTAAGTATATAGTGTAACACAGGTTCATTTTCGTAGAGGAAACAAAATGGACAACTCGAGACAAAACCGGCTTTGTTAGAATGCAATGATTAATTATGGAAAATTTTTGCACATTGTGTACGAGGGTTTAAAAAGTTTTATAGCATGTGTAGTTTTTCACAAAAGTCGCATTCATTGATTTGACGAATTGAAATTCCTTTCCGAGGACAAAGTGAATTCCTAGAACGTCGAAATGACGTAACAGTAAACCGAATAGTCATTTTAGATATTGGAGTCTTATAAAAGTTCTATCAGAATTTTTCTTCCAACTTTTTAAAGCTCGTTTCTTATCGACTAACAATTACGTTTTACCGAAACAAATTGTCAAATTGTACCTCCACCCATCCCCACCCCCACCCACTTGCGGGCCTGTGTGACGTCACGAATACCTCTTAGGGTGACATATACTTTTATCGACCAAAGTAACACACAAGACACACCGAGAACAACAAAATACAAATAAAAAACTTCGTTCGATTACAAACAATTTCATGTGAATATCCATTTTTGTTAGCCATTAAAATTACAAGTGACGTGCATACCTTTATTTTAATGCCAGGAATAGGTGGCTGTTAAAGTGTGCACCGTTAACGAAATTATATGTGTGGTCAAGACTGGTGAGTTTCACTATTGCTATTCGTGGCTCACACTGCATATACTTACTTAAATCTATGCAATGATTTAATCACTCAAATTCTAGAACAATTGTGAGACCTGACTATAGTTGCATTATGTTTTGTGTATCGCCACGTGTGATTTGTTTTTATTCGTAATTTTGAAAGTACTTATTTTCTTATTTTCTTTTCCAGAGATTTCATTATGGTTTACATAAGGTCAATTTTAAAGATTTTCATTATTTTTCTATTTCCTAAAGAAATATCTACACAAAGTAAGTATTTGAATTTATTCGTTTTTAATAATAAGAACTATAGGCCTATGCCTTTGTAAGATTTTAAAACTACACAAATTTGTTTTAAAAATCAGATTTAAATATTTTTTTTTACAAAAATCCAAACAAATTCGATTGGACTTTTTTTATGGCAAAATACAAAGATTTTAAATACACTTTTATTATATTCATTTTAAAAATGATTTATTAAGACACTAAAAAGAAATAAAATGTTATTTTTCAATTGTTTAAATATAAATAAACAATTCCATCTATAGGTTGAATAAATACATATCAAATGTATTCTTAATCTATTATATTTGAAATTGACATTTAAAAACTTAAAATAAGCAGAATATACATTTAGATTTCCTAATTCAAATTCTGTTTTTTAAAATGGTCAATGTCTGTAATTAATTTTAATTATTTGCACAATATATATATTCTTAGGACTATTAGATAAACTTACACCAGTTATTAAGCAAACAAAGAGTAAAATCATAATTTTTCTGGTCAATTTAATTGTCTTTAGGCTATCGCAATAACTTAAAGTTTAAACGTATAAAAAAAACAACAAAAAAAAAAAAAAAATTGTAAAAATATTTGTTTTGTCATTGAAAACAGTGAAATTTTTACAATTATATATTCATTGTCATATATTTCAGTCATGTACTGCTCCATAAGAGGAATATATTATTTAAAATTATTTTAAAATTACAATAGCAAACTAAATTTGGTTTTTAAAGAACCAAATTCGTAGCAAATGTCGTGAGAATTATTCATAAAAATCATTTATAGGTGCCTTTGAAAATTAAAACATAAAGCTAAAAATACTTTCAATAATAAGTTCAACACATTTATGTTGTCTATTATATGTGTGAAATGTAAGTTGACATAAAGGATTATTTTAAAATGAAATGAAAACTTTAAGTATGCATATTTATTACAGAAGATTTAAAGATTGACAGTTTTGAGCTACAAGTTTTTAACAAAGAAAACACTCCAGTTGAGACCTATGACCTTCTTAAAGTGACTGCACTTGATTTACAACCTTGCTCAACATTTCATTTTAAATGTACAGTTAATAGACTACCCGCACACTACGTTGTCATTGTCTACAAAAATGAAGTTAATAGGACGGATCAACTAAGTAATCAAACGGGTGCAATTTCCGCAGAGTACACAATTAAAACAGTTGATTGCCATCATTCAGGATCATACACATGTCGAACAGGGAATAATCAAGGTTTTAAAAGCCTCACCACTAATATTGTCATCAAATGTACGTGCAGCTAATTATACTTTGATTAATTACAAGCATTAAAAATATGAAAGATACCTTATGTTGTTTAAACATTTTATTTATAAACTTTTATTTTCTCGTGTTACTAAATATTCTCTATTTTTATATTTAACTTAAATAGTGAGTTCATTTCTTAAACGAAAGAAACAACAGAGATAAACAGCTAATACGAATAGAATAAAAGAAATTCATATTATGAAGAAAATATATTGTGTTCTTTTTAAAATAATTGTCTCATTTACTTTTAAAAAAGTAGTTTGGTCATAAAGAAAAAAAAGTGATTATATGAGTTTATAACATTGTAATATGATACTTTCCGTCCACATCAGGTCCTGTAACTGAAGCAAATTTTGTATCCAATAAAAAAGATCATTATGTTGCCGTAAGAAAAGATCAAAAAGGCATTACAATGATATGTGAAGAGAGGGATGTACCGAATTCATTAACCTTATTCAATCATAGAAATAGAAGCCATCGGCTCAACTACGTTGAAAATAGTAATTGGATTACCTACCACATTCCTGTAGTAAAATGTTTAGACATGGGGAACTACGTTTGTGTTGTAAATAGAACAAATCGTCATAAGGTTACAAACGATACTAACGCTTTGGTCAACGTTTTGGAAAAAAAGATGGATTTATCTGTAAATAATTGTAAGTATGTTATGATCGGTTCAAAAAGATTTGTATGATAAATATATATAACTAGTCTATATACCCTGTGTGACATGCAATCCCATTGGGACCCCGATCCCATTATCAAAAAAAAAAGCTCAGTGTTACTGTGAGACAGTAAACTCCGGGACAATATAGAAATGATTAGATCTAACTAAAATTTCATAATCCATTAGATCCCACTATATATCCCCGTGGACCAATTTAGAACTTTCTGGAACATTCTAGATTAAATTTGATAACCTGCTCGAAACATGTGTAAAACCTTTTTTCTAATTATTTTTTGAATACGATAAAAATCTTCAACAAATACCATAATTGTAATCCATTTTCGTTTAAGTTAATCATGGGGCCCCGGGGGACCCATTCCACAACTGTACCAATTTAGTTTTGCCTGAGATAGGGGCCCTATAAGTATCAGACGGATAAATAATAAAGTTAACAATTAAAAGATATCCCATCAAAATCTATTTAAAAAATCCATAGATATAGCTTTTTACAGTTATTGAACTTTTTTTAAAATGCTAGATTGGATATTATTAGCTTTAAATCCACCGATATTTCAATACGGACTAAGATGCCTAATGAAAAAAGCTAGGCTTAGATCCATAAATTCCCATAAAACCTATACTATTGTCTAACCCTATTGATATTCATATAGTTTAAATAAGGTAAAATGAAGGCCCCCCCCACCCCGGCCGCAGGGAAATGGACATTATGAGTTCAGTACACTTTGGTATTTAAATATGGATGATCATGTGTATGTGTTATAAGTTTGTCAAGATCCATCCATTCATATAAGCGTATTAAACCTATTGAAATTTATAGAGCTTATATAAGGAAAAATGAAAAGGGGGTCCCCGGCCCCAAAAATAATGGATATTGTTATTGAAGTACCCTTCGGTTTTTAAGTACGGATAATAAAGTATATGTGTACTAAGTTTGGTCAAGATCCATCTACTCATGTAGGAGTATTTGTTTTTATTTTATTTATATAACTGATATAAAGAAAAAAAACGAATTCGGGACCCTCGACCCCAATCGGAACGTTATAAAAACTTCATAACACCTTAAGAGTTCTTTCTGGATCATGATGGTTATATGTGCCTAGTTTGGTCAAGATCCATCAATCAATGTAAAAGCCTTTGTGAAACAAACAGACAAACAAACAAACTTTCACTTATATATATATATTTTAATTATGATTAGCTTTGCTATGTTCAGCTAAAGGACCATGCGAATTAGTGGACTGTGTGCAAAGTGGCTGACCGGTCGTAACATGTGTGGAATGTACATACTAACGCACATTAATATATATAAATGTTAGTGTGTGTGTAAACTTATTTATTGATTTCTAGTGTAATAAAAAAAATATCTGGGGAGTGTACAAACAACATAGCTAAATGGTACAGACTTTACAAAATGATTTTAAAAGTTAAATACGATTTCAACAACACTCATTACAACATAATTCAAACTAGAAATTTTAAAGCAATTAGATATGCTAATTTATTTAAAAGATGATAAAGGGACATGTTCATATACTATAAATGTATTGGTCCTACACGGTACTATCGATTTTATTTTATGTTATATGGAATTAGATATAAATATGTATGCGTTAGTTAACTTGGTTCTGTAAAGGAAATTTTTATGACTATAAAAATAAAATTATGGGATTTACAAGCATGTAAATAATTTTTTTTTGAAATCTAAATGATGTTCTAAATATTAAACATTGAATTTCTTATATTTTTATATTTGATTATTTTAAATTTGTGTATATTTTAAATATTATTTAAAAAAAAACATTGTGCCTTACGCTCTTGATTAATATTTTTAAAAATAAATAATCTGATACAGGTCCACCACAATTATGTGATAACGCTTTTGGAAATGTTGGTATAACATTGGAGTTCCAAACGAACATCTCTCTAACGGTATGCGTAGAATTTTCTATAGGTACGAGAATTTTTGGCGTGTTTTATCATAAATCCTGGGTATTTAATGGAAAGTGTGGAAAGAAAATCTGCCTTTCATCTAAGTTACAGAACGGGTCCAGATTCCAACACCATTTGAATATAACAGTGGTAAACATAGATACAACACCTGTTGATGATATAATCTTCAAAATAGGATCGGGATACAACTATCAAAATAACTACATCAACTACACCATACATTTTAATAACACAAGTAAGAAAGGTTCTAATAACTTCTTGTAAGGTTCATATAAATAGTTAATTGTTAACTTATGTTTATGGATTATCAAGATTTTTAATTTCCATCTATTTAGTACATAATTAGTGAATACGTTTTTATCGTATATAAATAAATCTGTTAACGTATCAGAAGTACGTTTAAGCATTTAAGTAGTTTAAAATTCACGTTTTTTTAATTCCATTATCAAGTTCTAACTTTATATATGGATATTTATGTGGTTCCTTTCAATGTTAACTTTTCTGGAACTTATTCATACACCAAACTTTATTGGTTGTTTTCATAAAAAATTATTTTTATTTAAAGGATGCAAGTCTACAACCCCATTAAGTGAAGTTACCCCATCTACCGAGATTACATCAACTCAACATCAGTCAATTAATGCTTCCGAAACGCATGGTATGTGCAACATATGTCCATATATTGTTATCAATGCGCAAATTCTTTACAATTGAAATTGCGGTTTCAACAAAAGTTTCTAAATGTTACAATGCACTGATTCGATTAGTAAATGAGTCTTTCCAAGGATCATAATAGCCAGAAAGTTGTCCGTTTGTCCACTCCTAATTCTACTAATACTCTAAATCCCCATTTTCTTTTACCATAAAGCATTATTTCAATATGTATGTATGTGTAAAAATACTTTTTACAAAACAATGGGACTACATAAGTTTTCAAATACACGCGTAAATCTGATTATACGGTTGGATTGCGTGTTAAATAAAAGCAAACACAAATAGATTTTTAAAAAAATTATCAACTTCTACCTATATTTAGGAAACATATGTGTATATATATATGTACAGACATTTACGACAAAAAGGATGTAACATAAAATCTTATCACAATATATTTAATTGATTTGTAATTCACAATATTTGTCAACACTTTTATCATCAGTATAATTCTTTCCAGGAGAAACTCAAATGAGTGACAACAAGGCTTCTACCTGGAACACAGTTTTGTTTTTTCTATGCGTGTTTCTGCTTTCTTTAATAATGAGTCTTGCTGTCGTTTTCCACTTCTATAGAAGTAATTATGATTTTATTAACTTTTTGCACATTTTGTGAATGAACAATAAAATGCTTATGGAGAATATTATTTAAATAATAATAATAATAATAATAATAATAAAGTTCATTTCAAAAACACACTTCATCCCCAAAGGCTCGAAGCGCGGTACAAAGTCAACAAAATACAAATCTATAATTTACCACATTTAAAACAAACGCAACACTACAAAAACTATTTACTAGCATACAATTGCAAAGTCTTTCTAGCCATTTCAACCCCAAGCAACACAGCCATTATGCACTAACTGGAAAATAAGGTTGACAATCATCCCAGAAGGTGTTTGCGAAATAGATGTGTCTTTAAATAATATTTATCGAATTTACAATAGAGAAAAACAATATAAATCTTTGTATTCTTTTTTTCAAATGAAACAATTAACCAATGAAATAGCTAATTACATATATATAAATATATATATATATAAGAAATATTTATTAATAAAATAAAACAGTTCCACCACAATTATGTGATTAAAGCTTTTGGAAATGTTAGTAAGACTTTTGAATTCCAAAGAAACATTTCTCTAACGTATGCGTAGAAATTTCTACAGGTCAAGTGTGTTTTGTGTGTTTTATCATATATATATATATATATATATCTAGCACATATGTGTTTGCAAGACGATGAGTGGCGTATTGATACTAGCTTTAGATAGCTTATGATGTTCATGCTTGAATGGCCATTTATACTACACTTCTCGCAGAAAAACCTTAAATATTTTTTAGGTTAGACCTACCTGAATGTTTTTTTTAAATTGCTTTATTTCGCGTATCTTCTTTTTGTTTGACTCCCTGATACACTGCTGTTCGTCATTCATTTATTTCAGTACTGTCTTTCCATATTTTAATTTTACAGACGGCGCTAAAATGTATGTGAAATTCCCAAATAAGGTTTATCCACTCTGCCAACCTTCCTTAGAGCAGGTTCTTTAGAAAATTTGACGTATAAGACTTAAAAGTGAAAGTGCCTCTTACTAAGAGCTGTGAACATGCTGCACATTTTGACACTTTTAAGCTTTTCGCAAAATGCGTCCTAGACATCTTTTGTGGCGCTGTTGATTTTCCGCTCATCAATAGCATATTTGGTCCGCACTTCACTGCCATAGAGAAGCTTAGTGAGCACTTATGTATGACATAATTTTTAGCTTGTACCCTCAGTGAGATTAGGATTGCTTCACACACTCTTATTCAATTTATTCCTAAAATTGATTATTTAAATAATTTTAATTAACATTAATTTTATTTCACGACAGAAAAAAAGATTGCAGAGACCAAAGCTCTAGCCTCATTGGCGTTGTATCACGCAGTCCAAGAAAGTTCGTTAGAGACGAGTTATGAGTCCATCGACCACCATCTACTATCACAAGCACAGGGGCAGTTTTCAGAAAACCACTCAACGCCTGCAGTAGAAAGCTATGTTCAACATCTATATGTGAATTGCAGTCCTCCAGTCTTTAAACCACATACAGTTATAAAACCCAATTGGATGACACGCTGCTGGAAAAATTGAACTATTTGGAAACATATCTATTTTCTTTATTTTACAGCTAAATACCAAGACCAAACTTAATGTCTTTATTTTTAACTTGATAAAAATTGAAACCAAATAATACAGATTATGCAGATTACCCAATAGTAATTACTTGACATATCAATCATAATTGATGTGAAAAATCAGGAAATATTACTCTCTATTTCACTTATGTAAATGTGCAAGTAAACTTGCTAACTTTATGTGAAATAAACTTTTTTACAAATGAACATTGTAGTTCGCGTTTTTTTCAGGTCATCGTACTTCCCAATTGCCTTGAGAACCCTTGCTTTCACTCTATCATGTTACACATTGCTCACAAGAAATTGATACATTTAATAGCCATACAGTGCCTCCACTTGATAGTCATACAGTGGCTCTACGTAGATCCCTACTGAGTTTTAGATCAATAAGACACGAACAAACTGTGTCAATATAACAATAAAAGTTACGCTTTAATAATAATTATACATTATACACAAGTAAACGTTTCGGCTGATGCCTTCATCAGTACACACAAACAAAACACATTTAAATAAGTATAAATTAAATTTACATAATATAAATATACATATCCTACCTAAAACAGAAAAAAATAGGAGAGGGCGCTAAAACCAGACAAAAACAAAGTAAAGAGGAGTAGAAAGAAGTGATTTTAACATAATTGTAAAAAACCTGTCCACTCTTTGATGTTATCCTCCCATCTTTTTCTTTGTCTTCCTTTTCTTCTCCCTCCTTTTGTGGGGCCCTGCAACATTTCTTTGTACCTGTCTTCTGTCATTTTTATTCCTAGGTCCAACACTTTTTATACCAAGTTTTAGTGTGCTTAAACTCCATATAATTTGTTTTCCTTGTGTTATTTCTTATTACTCAACAAATTAATACCTTTTTTTTTACGCTTTTATGTCATTCTATTATTTTGTTATGTGTGGTAGGAATGATTTAAAAAAGAAACTTGGTTTAGGGTTTTCATTTTATCAATTTTTAAAACTATAATAATAGCTTGCTAATTAAGAAATAAAATTATTTACGATTTTTAATATTTAAATTTAATACTATAATTAGTATTAGATCATCACACTAAAACTTGGTGAAATATTAAGTTTTTTATACCAAGTTTTAGTGTGCTTAAACTCCATATAATTTGTTTTCCTTGTGTTATTTCTTATTACTCAACAAATTAATACCTTTTTTTTTACGCTTTTATGTCATTCTATTATTTTGTTATGTGTGGTAGGAATGATTTAAAAAAGAAACTTGGTTTAGGGTTTTCATTTTATCAATTTTTAAAACTATAATAATAGCTTGCTAATTAAGAAATAAAATTATTTACGATTTTTAATATTTAAATTTAATACTATAATTAGTATTAGATCATCTTTTGAGGTTTCAAGCAGAATATTTTACGCTATTAAAAATATAATTTCTGCTTATATTCACTTCTATGCACTAAATACATATTTTAAATCCCTTCCTTCCAGAGCTGTAACAAAAAGCAAGTAATTTTAAAATGGATGTAATAATTCCACGTAGGAAACTTCCGAGATGATTGAACATACTTTGATAAAGACACATTATTTTTTATATTTTTGTTAATTAAAAAAAAAAAACATCTTAAGTATACATATTTCATATATGCAAATGTTAAATTTCTAATATTAATTCATGCCTAATGTATCAATTTTAAAATGTAGTTCCTTAACTTATGCCGATTTTTAAAATAAATTCATTTTATTAATATCACAAGTTCGTCTTATTTGAAACCCGTTTTTCCAAAAAAATTATTAACCTAAACCTTTGTTGTTGTTTTTTAATATGTATTAAAAATCACAATTCTGATTTCTAAAGATTATATTTTTTTAAAAAAATTCATATTTAAAGTAATCAACAGGAAGTACTACAACCCTGAAAAACGGTTTAATTGAGATTATTTCTTGTTTTAATAAACTTATTTTTTAATGAAGTTTTAAGGTGTTATTGAAAAAATATTTTGGTACATTTCACGCGTAACCTCTTTAAATAAATCCCGCAAATTTTTCTCAAAAAACTACCCGACCATATCTTAAACCAACCAACTGATAACAACAAACATCTCTATCACTGTATCATCTAACATCATAAAATAACCGCCAAAAACTAGACCTATTTAATACAAAGTTGTCACAAAATAATTTAGACGTCCACATGCGTCGTCAAAAATACGAGATCCCATCCATTTTCCAATACATAGACGTAAGACGTCATATATAGATGACTATTTAAACTAACAAGCCTTCACACTAATTTAGAGAGCGGGGTTGACTTGTTGAGAATGTTTCGTTACGCACAATGAATCCTCTACAAATATACATAATCGACGTCCACATAAATAGACAAGCATATCAGCTTCTACAAGGTAATCACAGCCTTCAATTTAAATCAATCAAAAAAATACATTTTTTTCCGTTAAAAGAGCATACCCTCCTTGACGCCATCTCTGCCTCCTGCTCTGTTTACTTATCTGCCTGACACGAAAAAAAAAGAACAATTAACATTAGTCATTTCGTTTCTTAGGGCCAGTTCAACGGGATTTGTTCCTACACAAAAAGATCTAAATAGCAGGCAAATGACCAACGTGGCATGCAATGGGGCTTCAATGTGAATATCCGCCATTACCACTGGTAATGAGAGATGCAGTCGCCCACAAATACCAGGGGCGCACTCATCCCTAATACAAAGGGCATATTTGCCGTCATAACAGTTTGGGCAATGGCTTTGAAAACAGGTTGTCCATCCCCCTTTCTACAGCGGGGGTGTTATCGCACCAGAAGAATGTGCTTCATTCAACCCATCCCCCACCCACCCACAACACCAGTGGTGCTCTAGCCCTTGACGAAAGTTGCGCCACCCGCTAGCAGCCCATTTAGCCTACTCCATGACAGGCTATAATCTTTCCCGCGCATGTTGGTGTCCGTTACTCTATTAACACAGAGGGCTAGGACAGCCTATTAGAAATGGTTTGGCAAGCCTAGAGGAAGGTATTTGTCGCCATACAGTTCGCCCTACTATAAACCTTGAACTCCTTGGGAGGTGTTGCGCGTCAGTTACCATGGCCATCACTACCAGGAATGATGTGTAAGATGGCGACTGGCTGACCTAGTTTATACGCAGCTGTGTTTATCTTGACATTTTTTGTTAAATATTCTTGTGTTTCAGTGACGCATGACTTTCGGTTTCGGATCGTTCGGAGGAGAATAGGGAAACAGCTATAAAGTACCGAAGAGTCTAAAGATATACGCATTGCTATACCGTACCAATCATTCTTAAATAAGATATTGGTTGGAGTTTCTCCTTCTTTCACTTTAAAAAAATATCCTTGTTAGAGGATTTTATATTGAATCAGGATTTTATTTATTTTACAAAATAAAAATAATTTTAAAAAATTAACTAAAAAAATTAATAAAAATACTGTGTACTGCTTCAATTAAGGATTAGTGGGGACATGTGGATAAAAAAAAAAATATTTATTTATGTTTTAGAAGTCACATAAACAAGAACTGAAACTTTGGAATGATTAATAAAACAAAAATATATATCAAAGACAGATGGATGTTTTAGTAACTAATATTATTACAAATGTACTGCCATGATTAATTTATGTAAGTTATCTACAGCAAGGTGTTAAAAATCTATAACAATATATCACTGTCTAAAAAATAAGTTTTCTATTCATAACGTTATTGATAGATTTTAACAGGTTCAATAACAATACACTGGAACAAGGTATTAACGATTAAACATTTTTTTTTAAAAATTGATTGGATATCAGATATATTAATTTTAGAACTACTTCAATTAAGCTGTTGAACGATGGGACTCTGATTTCTTGTGACCTCATAGTTTGAACTATTACTTAAGAGTAAGGAGTGTCGTTTTTTAAATTTACATTCTGGATCATTAACATATCAAAAAACAATTCAAAAATACAAAACTGTTCACGAATGAGTTGGTTACTTAATTTAACACTTATTGATTGCGTTGAATTGAGAATCACGTTTTTTAGCTAAATGTATTCATACTTTCTTGATTAATTGTTCACATTAAGATAGTAACATATTAGGAAAAAAAATGTGTACGATTTATTAGAAACAACCGACAACACAATTTTTTTTTTGAAAGAGTTTGGAAGTGCATCTGTGTGTTGGAAATCATTTCAATATAACTGAGGAATTCAAAGGTGGGCGATGGTGGTGATAAACAAGGTTTGTAGAGTTGTTTGATATTAAATGTAAATTAATACAGTGAGCCCAAAATTTAAAACTAATGAAGCTCACTCATCTTAATCGCACATATGCATTTGCCAAAGTTGCATCTCTCCAAATGCTGCTTCCTAGTAATAAAATGGAATATAATTATGTTGGAATTATAGTTTGAAATTGGTCTGTCGACTAATGAAAACGTATCTGAAGTTGACCAATTGTTTCTCTAATACGTAATAGTTCGTCAATGGAACCAAGTTTTAAATAAGTAGCAGAACGATACCAAGGAAGCTTTAACAAGATAGCAGAATGAAACACGGCTACATGATTTTTTGTTTACTGTTACAAACCATTCATTCTTTCGAAAGAGAGTAAAGCACGCGTTCTCTAGAGTATATGCAATCCCCTCTACGAACTCTAAGAAAAAGATTCTTGAAAACGAACGATTGTTTAAGTATATAGTGTAACACAGGTTCATTTTCGTAGAGGAAACAAAATGGACAACTCGAGACAAAACCGGCTTTGTTAGAATGCAATGATTAATTATGGAAAATTTTTGCACATTGTGTACGAGGGTTTAAAAAGTTTTATAGCATGTGTAGTTTTTCACAAAAGTCGCATTCATTGATTTGACGAATTGAAATTCCTTTCCGAGGACAAAGTGAATTCCTAGAACGTCGAAATGACGTAACAGTAAACCGAATAGTCATTTTAGATATTGGAGTCTTATAAAAGTTCTATCAGAATTTTTCTTCCAACTTTTTAAAGCTCGTTTCTTATCGACTAACAATTACGTTTTACCGAAACAAATTGTCAAATTGTACCTCCACCCATCCCCACCCCCACCCACTTGCGGGCCTGTGTGACGTCACGAATACCTCTTAGGGTGACATATACTTTTATCGACCAAAGTAACACACAAGACACACCGAGAACAACAAAATACAAATAAAAAACTTCGTTCGATTACAAACAATTTCATGTGAATATCCATTTTTGTTAGCCATTAAAATTACAAGTGACGTGCATACCTTTATTTTAATGCCAGGAATAGGTGGCTGTTAAAGTGTGCACCGTTAACGAAATTATATGTGTGGTCAAGACTGGTGAGTTTCACTATTGCTATTCGTGGCTCACACTGCATATACTTACTTAAATCTATGCAATGATTTAATCACTCAAATTCTAGAACAATTGTGAGACCTGACTATAGTTGCATTATGTTTTGTGTATCGCCACGTGTGATTTGTTTTTATTCGTAATTTTGAAAGTACTTATTTTCTTATTTTCTTTTCCAGAGATTTCATTATGGTTTACATAAGGTCAATTTTAAAGATTTTCATTATTTTTCTATTTCCTAAAGAAATATCTACACAAAGTAAGTATTTGAATTTATTCGTTTTTAATAATAAGAACTATAGGCCTATGCCTTTGTAAGATTTTAAAACTACACAAATTTGTTTTAAAAATCAGATTTAAATATTTTTTTTTACAAAAATCCAAACAAATTCGATTGGACTTTTTTTATGGCAAAATACAAAGATTTTAAATACACTTTTATTATATTCATTTTAAAAATGATTTATTAAGACACTAAAAAGAAATAAAATGTTATTTTTCAATTGTTTAAATATAAATAAACAATTCCATCTATAGGTTGAATAAATACATATCAAATGTATTCTTAATCT